TTCCAAAAACCTCTAAAGATCCCCTCCCCTCCCCCCCAAAACAAAACACGAACGGGTTTCATTCCAAAAACCTCTAAAGATCCCCTCCCCTCCCCCCCAAAACAAAACACGAACGGGTTTCATTCCAAAAACCTCTAAAGATCCCCTCCCCTCCCCCCCAAAACAAAACACGAACGGGGTTCATTCCAAAAACCTCTAAAGATCCCCTCCCCTCCCCCCAAAACAAAAACACGAACGTCCATTCCAAAACCCTAAAGATCCCCTCCCCTCCCCCCAAAACAAAACACGAACGGGGTTCATTCCAAAAACCTCTAAAGATCCCCTCCCCTCCCCCCCAAAACAAAACACGAACGGGGTTCATTCCAAAAAACTTCTAAAGATTCCCTCCCCTTCCCCCCCCCCAACAAAAAAAAGACGAACAGGTGTCATTCCAAAAACCTCTAAAGATCCCCTCCCCTTGCCCCCCCCCAAAAAAAAGACGAACGGGTTTTATTCCAAAAACCTCTAAAGATCCCCTCTTCTTGCCCCCCCAAAAAAAACCATCCCGAACGGGTCTCATTCCAACAACCTCTACAGATCCCCTCCCCTTCCCCCCAAAAACAAAACAAAGCAAAAAACATAAAACGAAAAGACGCCGAGCCACGGCAGCCAGGTCCGGCCTCTGCCCTGCCGCTTCATCCACCAGACGCAGCGGTCCAGGCTGGCGCGGGCGGCGCCGGGACTCTCGAAGCGCCGCCAATCGCCGTGCCCGGGCAGGACCCACTGGAAGTCCTGTGGCAGGCGTTCCAAACCTGGAAAGGATGCGCCGGAGAAAAAAAACAGGAGAAAGGAACACACGGCAATGTGCTGTTGCTCCTGAAGTTCAAAAGAAACAAAGACATAAACCACAAAAACACAGCCAAGGCATTTCTGGTAAAGGGCCAAAGGAGGTTCCAAACCTCAGCTTGCCTCGCAGTAGTGGTTTAGCGGTTAGGCCATCTGCCCTCTACAAGAAGCAGGGGTTCAATTTTTCAAACCACCAAGCCAAACCACCTTGGATGCGCCTGACAAAAAGCGGAGAAAGACACATGACAGTGTGCTGTTTCTCTTTCAGAAAACGAGGAAGAAGAAAAAAAGAAAAGAAAAACAAGAAGGGAACAAAAACAGCCAGGGTTCTTCTTGTAAAGGGCCAAGGGTAGCCCAACAAAGATAATTATCTAGTCAACAGTTAAGCAAACACATGCACCTGAAAGATGTTGACCAGGAGGCTTTGAGTCTGCAACTCCCAACTCTGCCAGCATTGGACACGGGCCGCAACCAGATGTCCCTTGACAGCTGAGTAATGCAATGAATCCCCCGTGAAGAGGAACTTCTTCTTGTACAAAAACATGATGCTGCCAGCTGTGTGGCCGGGTGTGTGAATGATCTGAAATTCAGCCAGGCCCTCCAAGGCGGTGGTTTCCCCTGCTTTGAGCTCCAAAAGATGCTCGAAGCCTTTGGTGACTGGAAATGGAGTGTACTTATTTTCTGCCTCGACCATATCGTCCTTGTGCATCAGTCGAGATGCCTTCGTTGCTTCATACCAGGCGGTGGCATTTCCAGTGTGATCTACATGGGTAAAACACAAGTGTTGCACTCCACCCATCTGCTGCACTGCCTCCAAAAGCTTGGGATGCGCGATTGGCGGGTCGATCAAAATATTGTGACCCTCGTGCCGGATGAAGAAGCCGGCACATGCAAAGGTATTGGCGTCCGGGTGGCCCATAAAATAAACGTTGTCTTCAATCCGTTTGGGAAAGCCTTCGTAGAGAGGTGGCAGTTGCTCCAATCTCACCCTCGGCTGTCTGCTCCAGCGGATCGCTTTGAATGGGCAGCTGAAGATCGCTTGGCGGACTGCAGTGTACTCCTCCGCAGAGGCAATGTCCTGGAACACAAATCTGTGGGCCGGATAGAAAAATATTAAACATGTAGTGGCAGCGCTTGACCAAAAATGTGGTTGTGATATCATGACCAGATAACTACACTAGGGCGCTAAATGAGTTTAACTCCTCATTTGTGGACTCATGAGATTGTCACTTGAGGGAAAAAATGCCTTCCCGTCATGGAACCCGACTTTGAAGGGACCCTCTGGTAGATGGCAACGCGGACAGGAGGATATCATATGGGTGTGTCTGTTGTTAGGGTCCCCCCCCCAAAAAAAAATGTGGTTTTCACCTTTTAGTTTTCCGCTTCGCTTCAAGAACCGACCAAAACTCCTTTCCCCCTAAGAAAAAAACAATAAACAAAAATCGGCCACACATAAAAAAGGGGAGGGGGAAAAAAGAAGAAGAAGAAGAAAAAACGTCTCCCCCCCCCCCGGTCCTTGCCCACTTCCGAGAAGTTCCCCGGCCCCAGGGCCGGCTTTGAGCGCGCAACCACCTCCCGGAAGATCTCCGGCGCCAAGACCCGGCAGGTCATGGCCCCCACGCACTTGGAGGTCACCTGGGGCTTTTGGCCGAAAAAATCGGCGCAGTGGTCTGCAGTAGAACCGAAAAGAGGTCCAAAGGCCCAAAAAACAAAACACGCCAATTGGCCATGACCTTTGCTTCAAACACACAAAACCACGCCTTAAAACATCAACTTGAGTGTTGGGCCTTTGGAAGGTCCGCTCGCCTCATGAAAAACGCCACCAAAAACAAGAAAGACAAGACCCGGCCTCCGCGCGGCCCCAATCTTCAACGTCCGACATGGCGATCGGATCGGGAAAAGCTCGGCTTTGAAAGCTCCACTGCGGCAGCTGTGCGTAGGTTTGTTCCACAGTGGCTCGTGTGACGACTTAGCCACTTCAGTGGATATGGTTCACTTAAAAGAAAGGCACAGCTTCTTGGTGGTTCTCCAGCGGCTCCCCTCTTTCTGATCTCTTTATGTCGCGAGCAAGCTGCGCCAGCTTCGCGGCACTTGGCGTCAACCCCCAGTGTCCATGCCAACCCCCACCCCACTCCCACCCCGGCGCCACAGTGTTCCATGCAAGTGATTTTCATTTCGGTGTTCAGAAGTTCAGACCCACATCCGAAAAGAGATGCTCAGAAGCACTGAGAAAACACTCGCATGGACAAAACACAGCCTCCCGCCGTCCCGCCATTAAAAAGGAATGAGCTCGACCCACTCCAGGGTCCCTTCTGGGTGGTTGACTTCCTCCGATTTCACGTTTATGTCTAGCCAATAAAAGGGCATACTGCCGCAGAACAAATAAGGGACCACGCACATGGCCGATTTGTCTCCTCTCGGTCCGAGAGCCAAAAAGGAAAGAGAAAAATGTGTCCAGCCACGCACTCTGTTTCTCTGCGCTGCCCTCAGAGCCCCTGCTAAGAGTTTACTTTTGCTGAGTCGTCATGGAGGCCCCCCCACTAAACCACCTACAAACAGTTAAACACCAAAGGCTGGGAACCACCAAGTATTTGCAGTACATGTTCGGCTTTTGCAAACCGGGGAAGGGGGGCGGGAACCGCATTTTTGCTTCTTTTTGGAGAAAACCGCCCTCCAGGCTGGGCTCGCTTCAGGGAAACTAGAAGGAACCCCTATTATTTGTGTCAAACATTTCGAGGTCCAGCTGGTCGAAGTTTTGTTTTTTTGTTTTTTGCTTTCCCCGCGCAACGCCAGAAAAAAAAAAAAGGAAAAAAAAAAAACGGGCCGCCGAGTCCAAGCAAAAACCGAGGAGGCGCCCCACCGCTCGGGGCCGGGGGCTTCCGGCGAGCGCGGAAGCCCTCGCGCCCGCGCCTGCTGGTTGGCCCTTTGCGCCCCCATCGACGCGAAGAGGCGCCAGGCATCAAGGCTCCAAGGGTCGATGTCCCGCAGGAAGTGCCACAGAACCTCGCCCAAAGATCCGAAGTTGGCTTGGTTGACCTTGGGATTGGGGGGCAAAAAATCCCCCAGATTTTAGCAGTTGAGTGGTGGGATTTCAACCACGAAGCCACAACAAGCACAAACATGTAAAATGTTTCCCATCAACAACCATGTTAGGGGGCGGTGGGTGCCAGGATGCCGATCCAACTCGCCACACGGTGGGTGAAGACGCACGAGATCCGAAATCGAGTCTCGCAACACGAAAGGAAACCACGGATGTTGCAAACATTACGTTGGTTGGTATTTACCGGGGCATCGAATCATTCCCAAGGTTGCTGAACGGTGGCGCGAAATGCGTTTCGTCCATCCACAGTATGGCAAGTTTACGACAAGACCGACCAATTTGACTGAAACGTCAACCATTGTTTTGTGGGCGGGTGCCGTTGGCCAACTTGCAATATTTAGGGCCGAAAATCATAGGGGGAAGGGCGTGCTCAAAAGCAAAGAGCTGGCGTAACGCAAGTTTTGTCTTTTCCATTTGCTAAGGCCCCCAAGTCCATTTGGGGTACCATGTTTTGAGCTGCAGCCATCTGCGTGGGATAAGGGGAGGTTCCACCTTTAAACCCACAGAAATTTTGCAAGTCATCGCAAAACCGTAGGGTGAATGACGGGTGTGGACTGGGGGGGTTCCTTGTTCTTTCGCAACAGGACCTTTTTGGAGATGAACTCGGATCAATGTCCTTCCTGCGACATGTGATACGTCACCGCTGGTAAGGGATCCGCAACGGCAACAAAAATGAAACGCTAGCAGTTGAAAAGCAGCGGAAGAACTGATATTCTAGTGCAACGTGTCCCATACCTACATAGCTAACCCAGTTTTACACTCTTTTTTGCAAAACGTATTATGTTCCAAGGACAAGTCTTTCCTGTGGCTTCCTTTTGGGCGTTCAACCAACTTAGTAAGGGTCATTGGGTACCATCGCCTCCATCGAAACTCCAAAAAAAGGGTGCCAAAAGCTTGGAAAAAAGGAGAAGAAACAAAAAAAACGAGGGAGAAACAAAAAACCTCCCCCCCCAAAAAAAAAAATAATAATAGAAAAAACAAACTAAACGAAAAAAAACCAAAAAAAACAAAATTACTTCGCTTCGAGCAATCCCCACCCTCCACTCACGAGCTTCCGACCATTACGACAAATTCCTCCACATCCTAGGGACTTCGACTCCAAATTCCAATCAACCCCTTCCCACTGATAATTTGCCGCGCAAGAATGGCAAAGCACTGCTTCAAGCCCATTTCAAGCTTATTGGCGAGCAACAACTACTTGCACGTGGCCGATCACGGCGGCAAGGCACCAGGGTTATGCATCTGCAGAAGCCACCGCCAGCCCCGCGCTCTGCAGAGCACACGCGCGGGCACCAACAGCAAAACCAAACTGGCGAGCTGCTCTGGCGGGATACTGGCGGGATCCACTGGCGAATACTGGCGAGCCGCTCTGGCTCGATATTGGCCGGATACTCGGCAGGATCCACCGACAAGGGATACTCAGCGGGATACTCGGCGGGATCCGCTGGCGAGCTGCTCTGGGATACTCAGCGGGATACTTGCCAGATTCCATTGGCGGGCTGCTGTGGTGGGATACTCGGCGGGATCCACTGGCTGGCGTGATACTTGATGGGATCCACTCACGAACTACTCCCATTGGCGGGCTGCTCTGGTGGGATACTCGGCGGGATCCACTGGCGAGCCGCTCTGGCGGGATACTTGGCGGGATCCACTGGCGAGCCGCTCTGGCGGGATGCTGGGCGGGGGCCGGTCCGGCGGGATACTCGGCGGGATCCACTGGCGAGCTGCTCTGGGATACTCAGCGGGATCCACTGGCGAGCTGCTCTGGGATACTCAGCGGGATCCACTGGCAAGCAGCTCTGGCGGGATACTGGCTGGGATCCACTGGCGAGCCTCTGGCGGGATACTCGGCGGGATCCACTGGCGAGCTGCTCTGGCGGGATACTGGGTGGGGGCGTGGTGTAGAAGCATCGCAAACGCGGATTCCAACATAAAATCTAACAACCCCTTCCTGTCGGGTGGGGAAAAAAGACTCCGAGCGCCGAGCGCCGCCTTCCGGCCCCCGCCGGAGCCTCCACGGCCCGCGGCTGCTCGGAGCTCTCCACGGGCACGGAGGCCACCAGGCCCAGGAACTCCTCGCGCGGCCGGGCGGCCGCGTCTGCTCTTGAAAGAAGCCGCGGCTTTTCGTGGACTTTTCTCTGGGTAGTTTCAAGGAAAAGCCAGAAGGCACACCACCATGTGCTTGTGTGTTCGTGTGTTTGGTTGTTTGTTTGTTTGTTTGTTTGGTTGCTTGCTTGCTTGCTTGCTTGCTTGTTTGTTGCTTTTGATGTTGCGCGGGGGGGTTCACCTAAAACAATTGATACATCCATATCTTGCATTGATATGCTTACCCTCCCGACCACTAGCATGGACGATTTTCCTTTACAAGGGACCCTCATGGGGGGGTGGACCGGAGGGCAACCTTGAAAACATATAAGTCAGTAGTTGAGTTGCTGGGGTTGGATCTTTGTGGTTTGGAATCCAAACCATTCACTCAGAGATACCTGAAGAACAATGCTCTTCCTTTCGGCTGCCCGCCCCCCCCCCCAAAAAAAAAAAAAAGCGCTCGGGTGGCATCCTTAGCAGCAAGCCCCGCACCCCTTTCGAACCCGAAAACGCCCAGCCGCTCCGAACTCCAGAGACCACCTGGGCAAGAACCCTCACATGTTATAACTTTGAGATGTCGAAGCGAGGTGAAAAAAGGTGGATGCCGATTCCTACCATTTGGCAAGTAAACCACACACACACCAAAAAAAAAAAGGCAGAAAACACCCAAAAAACAAAACCACACAGACACAGACACAAGCACAAACCCACGCAAACAACACCTTACAGCACAGCGGGGTAAAATTTCGTGGGGGTCCCTTGTCCCTCGCGACATCCAATTAATAGGAATCAGCATCCGTACCCAGGTCGGTCGGACCTATGGAGAGGCAGCTTTCGCCGAAACAAATCACGGGAAATCCCTTTCAGGCATGTAAAGAAGACGTGCTGTGGGTGGACTCATTCCTGCACTCGGAAACTATGGGAAACCGTGGTTGGTTGGTATTTGCAGGGGGAATCGAATCATTCCCAGGGTTTCTGTAGGAGGTGCGAAATGGATTCCGTCCATCCACAGTAGGTCTCTAAAACCTTAAAACGGTTGGACACTTTGGATTGTTTTTTGGGAGAATCTAAGACTACAAGACAAAAAGCGCTTGGACACTTTGGAGGATCTCCACATCGGAAGCCAGTGGTCTTGTCTTGTTGCCTTGGCAACTAGGTGGTTAAACTTGCTAAGTGGCTTCGCGCGAGTGGGTGGGGGGACTCGCCTCAAACGCCACCTCCAAATGGAACCTACCGGGATGGCTTGGGAAACAATCGGTGGCTCGGATTGGTTGGGAGGCTGGGGGATGGTGTCCCATTTGCCCTCTATAAGAACCACGGGTTCAAACCCTCAAACCAATCCAAACTGCCGATGAAGGGTAGCCTAAAAGAAGGACATGTGGGTTCAACCATTTGCTCACTGCTCCGCGGCGGGGTGAGCCGGCTCACCCCGCAAAATCCGGCCAAAGAAATGTTAGATGCTTCTAACATTTGTAGCTTAAATATTGTTGAGCTGTCCCCGGCATACAATCGCGTGACTGATATTACAGGGAACACCCGGAGGGGGTTCATCTGCCAGGTTGATTCATCTGGGGGTTCGTGCAATCCCTGTAAAAATCCTACTTCTGGGTGTCTGGAACCCTGCCCCCATGGATGTGGACGCCGCAAAACCAGAGGATGGGACGTGGTGCAAGAAGCTGTCCACGGCCAGGCAAAAGGGAGCATCTCTTTCTGGCAGCTAATTTTTGAAAATCGGTTCTCCCGTCTGTCAAAAAGCAAACCGAGAGGAAATGCCCGAATCGAAACACCGGATGAATCAGCCCCAGTTGATGAATGGGGGGGGTGGGGTCCGCTCTGAAAACGAGTGCTTGATCCCCCACAAAAACTGAGGGCTGCCAACCAAAATGTTTGCGCGCTTCTCAAGATAGGGACCTGCAAAAAGGTGGCTTTCCTCTGGGTGTCCTTTAAGAACTAAGGAAAAAGGCGGGTATTCCCCACAAACACGCACACCTTCAAATAAACAGGCCTCCATTTGCTTAACTCCCCCGGAAAGAACAAAGCATGGTCCAGTAACTGAAATCGTTTCCCTAATGAACATAACAGGGGAAAAGCTTACAAAAATATGTCCAGGGATAGATTCCCTCTCAAAACCAACAAGAGAAAATTTGAAACCAATACTAAGCAAATGGAAGCAGTCCAGTGATAGATTCCCTCTTAAAACCGACAAGATAAAACAAAGATATATCAAGCGAATGCGAAAACGATTCCCTAAAAAAAACAACCATGGAAAACAAAAACAAAATAGCACATGGGAGCAGGGGCTCTCTTTCTAGGGGTCGATTCCCCATTCTTTTCAAGCATCGTTCTTTTCAAAAACCAGCTGTTTCTTTTCGTGTTTGATGGTTTTCTGAAAAGAAGGATCTCTGGAAAGAATGTGGAAGGTAGCCCTAGACTCTTGCGGGTTGTTTCTTGGCCGCACCTTTTGGCCCGCAGCGCCGCAGCAGGCGTCTGCTTCCGCCGGATCGCCCTCCGCCCAGGAGGGAGGGGCTTGGTCGCGGCAGCAGGCCACGTAGAGCGAGAGGCTGCGGAAGCAGCCCATGGCTGTCTCTTTGGCCGGCGGATGTGTCTGAAAAAGTTGGGCCCCCCGGAAAATGGGCTCATCTCATCGGAGTCGGACATTTTTCGGTTTCCCTTTTGGAGATGCCAAGAAAACAAAAGGACAACAGCAGCCAACGGCTTCATCTTGCCCATGGCTTTCCTCAAACAAACACACCCGCCGCTCGGCCGCCAGGGGAACGGGGCGCCATGGCGCTGGTCGTGGCTGAAACGGCTGCTTCGTCAGGTCCTGGTTTAGACCATGTTCCTTCAATAGAAACCCTCTCATCTCGGTGGACGTTGGAAGGGGAGCAAAAAAAATAGATTTAGCATTTAAGTGGGGAGTTCCCACTAAACCACAACCAGCAAAAACGTAAAATGTTTCCCAACAACTACCATCTCATAGGTGTCACGCTAGCCTGGAGGGTCTAACCTGCCTTGGAGCTAAATAATTGCACATGTTCTTCCCCGTTTTAATTTGGTGCCGGAGGTACACGACAACCCCAACAGTGCGATTGCCTTTTGGCCGCCCTTTTGGTCGCACCCCGAACCTTTGACACGTCGCTGGAAGTCCAGGCCATTTGATTGCCTGAACTTGCTCTGGCAAGCCTTTGGCCCATAGGTAGCCTTTTGGAAAATAGACGGCCCTGGCAAATGGAATAAACCCCATCTAAACCAGGAATCGCCCTCTATGTTTTAAGCAAACCAACCAAAAAGGACACCTATGCGGCTCGGCCTCTAGCGCAAGAACGCAACTTTTCTTCGCGACGCACGGCTTCCTTCGCGTGGCTCCTTTGGCAGCCCCCGCTTTGGCACACCCGCCGCGAGAGGCGGTGCCAAAGCAGAGCAGGCCGCTGGCCAACTAGACTAAGACCGCCCAGCACATCCCAACCCCCCCTCCCCAAACAAGCAAAACAAGCAAACAAACAAACAAAACAAACACAATATGCAAATATATATAGATATACACATGTATGTATACATATGCATGAATGTATGCATCTATGAATCTATGTATATGTACGTGCGCGTGTCACCCTAGAGAAGGGCACTGCTTTCCCCACTCCACCAGCCGCTCGCGTCGCTGGCGCACGCTCAGCGCCCGGCGAAGAAGTTCAGCAGCCGCCCCGCGCCCCTGTCCTGGCCCTGGCGCGCCCGCTGGGCCTCCTGGCGCCGTCGTCAGGTCGCATCGGATCGCTCCGGCGTCAACCCCGCCCCCCCCCCCTCCGAGCGACCAGGCTCCCCGTTTAGAGCAAAAAACACAACAGGGAGGGTGGTTCAGATGGGGGGCTCGGAGCGCCAACGGCGAAGCTTGGGACTCTTCTTGGCCGAGGCCAAAAGGCCAGTGGGCCCCATACGCCCGGAAAGCCTTCCTTCAGACTCGACCCTTCAAGAGCTTGGGTAGGCTGGCCCTGGCAGCAGGGCGGGTGTTTCAGAACATGGGTCTGGGTGGCTTGTCTTTTTTGGGAGGACCCTGCAAATAGTGGGTTTTCCTATTGGTCGAAGGGCCCAAAAGCCCCCTTAGAGAAACCAGAGGCATGCACAGGGGGCAAAAAACCATCGCCCCCCACCCCCGGAGTTCCTCGTGGAGGTTCATCTGCTGGTAGTAGAGCGCCTGCTGCTCCCCGCTCTTCACCTCGAGATCCGGAGAGTCCAGCAGAGGGATTCGGATCGGAAGTGGAACCCCACTTCCGGCGGAGCGTCGATCCAGGTCGCTGGGGAACTAATCCCAATAGAACTGGGTGGATTCGTACTGTGGATGGACAAAATCCATTTCGCACCACTTGGAAACCATGGTTGAAACCATTTTTGTTGGTATTCACAGGGGAATCATCCTTCTAGGGTTTCTTGTGTGGTGCCTAAGAGGATTTCGTCCATCCACAGTAGGAAATGGGCAGTGGATGTCAACCCCCCGGATTGAAGTCGAACACCCCGACCTTGGATGCGGATGTCACCCAAGACTGATCTGGATCCCTTCTTAAACTGGACCCAAAATCAAAACAGCCTGGGGCTTGCTAAATAACATGACCCCACGGAAGTACACATATTAACCAGCTCATGTGAAGACTTCCCACTAAGATGTCCGGAGAGTCCAGCAGAGGGATTCGGATCAGAAGTGGACCCCACTTCCGGCGGAGCGTCGATCCAGGTCGCTGGGGAACTAATCCAATTATTCAATAGAACTGGGTGGATTCGTAGGAAATGGGCAGTGGATGTCAGTCAACCCCCGGATTGAAGTAGAAAACTTTGGTCTCGTAGGATGCAAGTCACGCGGACACAAAATCAAAACAACCTGGGGCTTACTAAATAACATGACCCACGGAAGTGCACATATTAACCAGCTCATGTGAAGACTTCCCGAACAGTCATCCCACATCGAAGGCTCACTGAGATGAATAGTTTATTGTCCGGCGTTTTGAAGTGGAAAGAGACCCTTTACTGGACATCGAACGCCCCTCCCCGCTCCCCTTCAATGAGGATCTCCCAACAACTCTGGCTCAAACATGTCCCAGCGGCAAGCAGCTATGTTCCCACGTCATCTACCCCCGTCTCTCCCCCGTCAACTTGTTTAGCTCACAACCCCCCCCCCAAAAAAAAAAAGAAGAAGAAGAAGAAGAAGAAAGGGGAAAAAACACTTGCGTGCTTTGATTGCCTTCCTGACTTCCCTTCCAGTGGTTCCTGGGCAAAAAGGTAACTCCAAAGCAACACCCCGCCAACCTCGCCTTAGGCACCAAGGCCAGCGCGAAGTCGTTTCGCCCGGCCTTCCTCAGAGCAAATCCGGTCGGCCCCCCTTAGCCTGAGAACGGGGAACCGAAGGAAGAAATTCCTTTAGCCCCCCCCCCCACTATATAAAACAACCAAGACGGGTCCCAGGTCCTCCAGTAGAGAGGTTGGAACAAGGGTACCCCTTTTTCTGTAGTCCATAATAGTAGGGGAACCCGCCCCTACTAAAAATGGTAAAAGGGCACTGGGGGACCAAGTGTCTCAGCTTCCGTCTAATTGCCGCTTTGGATTGGTGTGGGTTTCCCATTTACTCTCCACAAAAGCCAGGGGTTCGAACCCCCAAACCACCAATCCAAACCACCAACTTAGGGTTACCTGAGTGTCTTCGATGGAAAGGATCCACCACGTTAACTTGACAATTTAGCCAACTGCAAGTGGAACATGTAGAAATGCGCCACATCCCCACCTGGACCTTCCCAACACCTACGATTGCCGGTGTCAAACCCATGGCTTTTCCGAGAAAGAGAGAAAACCACGGGTGGATGTCCTGCCAAGGGTTCCGTTTGAAGCCCTGGCTGCTCCGAGAAAGGAGGAAAACCGTTTGAGCTTCAGCCCACCTGGCGTATCAAAAGGTGACTGCAATCCGATAGCCAGGGGAACGGTAATGGCACTAGCCCCCTTGTGGGTTCTCAAAACGTGGAACCTCCCCTCCCCTCCCCCCCCGCCGGAGGTTCACTCGGGCTCGCCGTTGGGTCCCAAAGAACGCGGTGGAAACGCGGGTTTTCGGTGTGACTGTCCCAAGACGTTTAAATGATATGAAGCTGTAAAAGAGGCAACCATTTGGGGGTTAGCTTTCGGCCTGCTTTTGGAAAATGGAGGGCCCCTACTGGAAGTGTAGAAATCCTCCTTCAGGGACCCCTGACTCCCCCAAACCGAGGGTCGAACTGCCCAGGTTTACCTTTGGGCACGACTAAAAATATACTAACATGCCCACAAGAATGGATTTCGGTTTGCCCTTGATTCCCTTTAAAACCACCCCAACAAGGCTACCGAGCCTCCAAAGAAGAGACGCGCCCACGTGCGAAAACGGAGATCCGGTGGATTCAATGGCTTGCGACATGATTTATCAGGAGATTCTCAACCAAACGCCAACGAGGTTTCCCTTTACACCTCACGAACCCTGGATTGATCTACCCCTGCTTACCAATGGTTGGAGTGTCCCTGGGTTTAGTGACCCCACATTCATCTACCCCTGTTTATGAATAGGGAAGCGTCCCTGGGTTTGGAAGTGTCCCTGCGTTTGGCGAGAACCCCGGATGCATCTACCTCTACCCCTATCTATTAATAGCGAAGCTTTCCATGGAATATTTTTGAATCGCACCACTCGGAGGCCATGGCTGAAACCATTGCTTGTTGCCATCTAGAGGGGGATCATCAGAAACCATAAATTCTGAACGGTGCTGCGAAATGTGCAATGCCCATCCAAATAGCTTGGTTGACGTTGAGGGAGCAAACATCTAATTTTTAGCAGTTAAGTGGTTGGATTTCAACCACCTAAACCACAATAAGCAAAAATGCAAAAGGTTTCCCAACTACCTAACTAAAATAGACTAAAATGTGTGGTGCCTACCCCAAAATGGTAACATTGGTTTTGACTCACAGCCAAAATGGATTTCGCCCATCCGCAGTAGGGGGATGTCCTTGGGTGAAACGTGGAGACTTCTGGCGCAGGACCAACAGCTGCGGCCCAGGCGCAGGAAGGCCTCGACGAAGGGCTCGTAACCAATGGGCGAGGCCAAGATGGCGAAGGCGTTCCTAGAGAGCGAAACAACCCAATATGTGTTTTTGTTGTGTTATATATATATATACATATCAAAATAACCAAAGATATACTTTTTGATAATGTGCATGTACAAATATATATGTATATACACATATTAGTTGGTTGTTTGTGTGGTGTTATGCATTTATTTGCTTATTTATTTCGTCTATTCATATATCCATGGCCTACCCCAAGGCTGTCGCCTTTTTAGAGGATAAGCCCTTGGCACTGGGCACCGTAAGGCGTCCGATTTTGGGCTCTCAAATTGATAATGCTTTCCCTTCCCCACCTCCTCCTCCTCCTCCTCCTTCCTCCTCCTCCCCCTCCCCCTCCTCCTCCTCCTCCTCCTTTTGCAGAAGGGAATGTAATAGGAAAATTGAAACCAGCGTTTTTGGGCCCCCACCCAAACAGCATTTCTGCAATTTCCCTTTTTGGAACCTCAAGCGATCGTTTCAATGGAAACCACCTACAAATGAACAAAGGAAACCTCCGATTTCGGAAACCTCCAAAAATGGATTCCCGAAGGCCATCTATTAAGAACTGGCTGCCAAGAAATTGGTTCCTGGCTTCCAGACAGATCCAACTGCAAAAAGTGATACCCTCCCTCCCACTAGCAACTGTGGGAGAAGTGGAAATGTCCAACAACACAGCAAGCCGAGGATTCCCTCAGCCTCGGACTGCGAAAATGCAGGGCCACAAAACGAGTGCTAAGCCCGAAAAGGCGCGAGTGGCCTTAGGCTCGAAAAAGCGACCTGATCAGTTGCCCCAAAGGGGCAACCCGGAAATGATACCTGAATGTGTCGGCACAAGAAACCCAAAGGTCAGATCTCGATCTGCTTTGGGCAAGTGAGAAAACTCTTAGCGTGTGGGCATCCAACAATTTCTTTCAACAAAACGCCACGGGATGGAGGGGCCATTTGACAAAACATGTGCTTTGGAATCAAATGCCAGGCCCTTAGTCGGGGATTTGACCCAAGTCGCCGCTTCCAACACGCAACTCAACTGGGCTGAGAACACGTCAATGGATTTGCCTTCTTGAAATGCGGAGACCCCATCGCCCGAATGTTCCAGCTGAATCCAGCTATTCATGTGCATAAATTTACATGTGTATGGAGAGGGAGGGAGAGAAAAAAAGAGAGAGAGAGAGAGAGAGAGAGCGAGGGAGAGAGGATCCAAAGCAGATACGCTTTGTAGCCCTTGAAAACCGGCTGTGCAGCTCCTTTCCTAGGTCCTCCAGTAGAGAGGTTAGAATAAGGTACCCTTTTTTCTGTAGCAGGGGACACTACTGGGGGACCTGGCATCACTCACAGCACCGACCGAGGCTCAGCTCGTCGAAGTTCCCGCAACTCGCCAGGCCCCGGATCTTGATGCGCCAGTACCTGAAATGAACACAATGGACTCATGGACCGACTTGGGTTGCGCCTGGTCAACAGAGACATCCTCGAAAAAAGGCCGCAAAGGACCTATAAAACACAAAACACCACCCCCACCCCAAGGAAAAACACAACTGACTGGGCTGTTCCAAATGGAGTTTTAGCCACTCCTAATCCGTAATCCCTAAAGGCGCCGCTTGTCCACCATCCGCATCTTCGCGCGCAGCTCGTCGGCCTCCTGATGGGGTAATTGTGGCCAGGCAGGGACGCCATCTCCGTCCCAAGCTACGATGGCCCCCCCGTGACCCGACCCGGTGGATCCATTTACCTGGCTTTGTAGGTAAGCAAGGGCTTGCCACACACCAAAAGGACAATGGCGAAGGGTCACCTGATTCAAGGGCTTGCCTGGGATGGACTGGGTGATGTGTGCTTGTTGGGGTTCTGTTTGTCCTGCAAAGGAAACAAGTCGGGTGGGTGAGGGGCGGGGTAGGAAAACAAAGGAGTGAACCCGCTCCCCCTCTGGAGGAAATGCGCCGCGCGCGCGAGGAATTTGGGGCAGGAGGATCGATGGAAATGAGCATCAGGAATCGGAGGTAAAGGCGAAGAGGCGAAGAGCAATTGACAGGTTATCCTTGACGCTTGCCCCCACCCCGTAAAACACGCCCCAGTACCAAAAGACAAGCGCAGGAAGCAGAAAAAGAACAAAGCATATTCAAAACGCCAGCATGTCCAAACCAGGCCAAGGCCCCCCACTTTGCCTGTCCGAAATGGGACCGCCCGCCAACGTCCCTCTTGCCCAAAATGTGAAGCCCCGTTTTACTTTTTTGTTTTTTTCCGGGCGAGGAGGGGCGGGGGTGTCCTGAGCAAGTACTATCACCTGCGCCACCGTGTTGTCGCAACATTCTTTTCAGGGCAAACCGCAAACCCTCAAATCACGGCCTCGCCAACCCCTACCGTGTCCTCGCCAAACTCATGCTCCTGATCCCGCTCCCCCTTTAACCAGAGGCCCCAGCGCCGGAAGGCTCCAACTTCCAGCCAGCTAGCCTAGGTCCTCCAGATTTCAGAGGTTCGAATTAAGGGTACCCACTTGTTTTTTTATTCCCTCTAGTCTATTTTTGTAGGGCCCCGAAGCCTCCCAACCCAAAAAAGGAAACCAAGCTGGGAGACCCAGCCGCTGCCATGCCCCCAAAAAGCCGCCGATCAAGAATCGGCAGGCCTTCACCTCCTCTAGCTCGATGAGCTTGAGGAGGCTCGTCACCAGCGGCAGGCCCAGAAACCTCACCTCCCGGCCGCGGCCCCAGTTCTTCGCGCTGGCCTGCGACCAAAAGATCCGATCCGGCCCTTTGTTCGGCGTAAACTAGGTTGGTCCTCCAGATTTGAGAGGTTAGATTAAAAGTACCGACTTGTTTTTTCTGTGGTCTATTTTAGTAAGGGACTTTTTTCCCAACAGAGGGTAAAAGGGCGCTACTGGGGGATCTAGTATAGGAACTGGACGGGGGGTAGTTGTTGAAACAAGTCCGGCTGGGGAGAAAAGTCGGATGGAGGCAACCCCAAGCTAACCGTCTGCAAACTAGGGATGGCTCCGCCTGGGGGGCGAATCCCAAAGCGGGATTCACGAATCCCAATTCCAATTGGGGGATTTGGGATGCGGGATTTAAATATGTGCCATTCTGGATGTGGGGATTCCAAATTTGAGATGCGGGATTTGAGTTTGGGATTCGGGAATTGGAATCCCAAAGCAATGGAACGAGCCGGGTCGGCCCTATCAAGGTGCTTGAAAAGCAAAGAGCTCAAGGCTTGGAAACAAACAGCATCACTAGCATCCCCAGCATCCCCAGCATCCCCAGCATCCCCAGCATCCCCCGCATCATCAAAAGAAAACCATATGAGCGCAGCTGTGGGCGCTTGTGGCAGAAAGCTGCCACGAAACCAATGAAAAACATGCCTTTTGGTCCTTGGCATCAGCATAGGATCCAAGGGGCAAAGGGGAGGGTGGCTCCTGTGAAACATCATCCGCAACCCGGTTTCAGGTGCCCAATGCCATCTCAGGCAACCCACCAGAAAAGGTAACTATTCAACTTGAGAGCGGGCGGACCAAAATTGGCACCGAAAATGCCAGCTTAGCGCGTTTCAAACCAATTCTCTTCCTAGGGTTCCCCCCCGAAAGTGAATAGGAGTGTCGAAATGGCAAACTAAGATACAGGGTGGTGGCAAACTTGTCCAGCCGAATCAGGAACGTCGAAATGGCAAGCTTAAACAGCATGTGCCAAACCAAAACACATGGTCTGTTCCTTTCAGCTTGCCTTTAACCTCAACCTCTGATCTTCACTGCCTTTCAAAGTGTTTCCCCGAAACAGTTGCAAAAGGGTGGGCTTTTTCGAGGGACCAAAAAACAACGTTCTTCTTTTGTGGTTTCCTTTAGAACGACCCAAAAAGAAACACACCATATCCTCAAAAAAAGCCCCCCCCCCCCAAAAAAAAAAAAAACTACCCTCCAAAAAGAAAGCAACACACCGGTGTCCAGGCTCGGCTAAAGCTTTCCCGATGCGACCAAGAACTCGGCTTCGACGCTCGGCCCGGCGCCTTCTCCTCCAACCCCGCCTGCGCCGACAGCAGCTCCAGCTCGTCTGCACATGCCTGCGTAGGAAACCACCGTGTAAAGCAATATGTCAACATTCAAATGTAGAAATAACAGGTCTAAGTCTAAGGTGCACATACTGCAAATCCATGCGTAGAAGGTGGTAGATTAGATTAGATTAGATTAGATTAGAATAGATTAGATTAGATTAGATTATAGATTAGATTAAGATAAGATAAGATGAGAGGAGATAAGATAAGATAAGATAAGATAAGATAAGATAAGATAAGATAAGATAGAAAGAAAGAAAGAAAGAAATAAAGGAAGACAGCAAGATAGATAGATTAGATAACTTGGATGATTAGATTAGATTAGATTAGCCACCGCTTTCTGGAAATGGTCCCATGCGAAGCTGGGTGCCCGATGTCGCTTAAAACGTCAGGGCTGTCTTTTCGGCAGGGTACCCCGTTATTGTGGAATTTTACCTGGAAACCAACAGGACACAACCATTTTGGGGGTACCACCAAAAAAGACACACCCATCAAGGAAACGAACTCCAATTTTGCCAAGGTGTAGTTTCAAACCAAGGGACAACCAACGGTTGAATGCTACCATCATGCGTGAAACCGAATGGGTGTGTCCCCTTTTAGCACGCGCTTCGGGAAAATATTGCCTTAGTGGTTCTCCCCAAGGTCATCCCCCAACCCTCCAAACTGCTTTGACCCAAGGGTGTTTTAGGCACGAACGGAAAACTCTCACATTTCCGGCGCGGCATCGCATTGATTGGCACCAAACTAGCACCGACGTCAACATCGAGCGATTCGAAATGAAGCCTTCTTGTGCTTGCTCATCCCCCCTGCAAAACAAAAGCTCTCCCTCCCGCGAACATGTCACCCGACAGGGTGTCCTTCTTCGAGGAAGTTGATCTTCCAGGTACCCTCGCACAAATGCTACGTTTGGGGAATGGTAAGCTAGTGCCATGCCCAAACTGCGGTTGAGGTTGTTTTTTACTTACCCCGGCTTTTTACTAGCCCCGGCTCGCCGCCCCCATGCGGCTCTGAAGAGGTTGGCTGGGAACCAGCCCAAAACTTGCGCAGCCACGCCCTAAAGCATCTCCAGGGCTAGTGCAGAAACCGGGGCACACCTCGCGCAAATCAGCTCCAAGCCAGCCCAAACCGATGCAAAGTCAACCTTGAACCCTGCCAGCAGCATCCTGGATATCAGCCGATTTCAAAGCCCAAATGAGCCCCAAACAAACCCAAGACCCGCCCTCATTTAATAAGACCTCAACAGGCCCAACCGAAGCAACTCTGAACTAGGCAGCAGTCCGAGCGAGGCCGTGATGCTGGCGATGCTGGGGATGCGGCCGCCCAGCTGACCAACCAACCAACCGGGCTGGGGCTAAGCCCCGAGCCGGGGCTCGGGGGAAAAAAACACCGGTTCCCCAAACTGCCATGGAACAAAACCAGCTGCACGGGACCACTTCGCGGCTGGGGGTGGAAGACTGGCCCATTCAACGAAACAAATATGAACCACCTCCAAAGAGAAAAGCAAAGCACCACCGCCGCGGTGCGAACCGCAGAACACAAAAGGAAATCAAAGCTCGGAGGAGCGTCACTGAAAGCCCGCGCCTGGGACATGAACTGCATCGAGGCCTTTTCCGCCTCCGGGCCTTCGGTCAAAGCGAACCTCAGACGGTTTCGGAGCTTCGGACGGAGGACGGAGCTTTCGATCCACCAAAGTCTGGGTCTGGGGCTGGGTGTTTTTTTGTTTTTTGTTTTTGTTTGTTTTAATTTGTTCTTCTTCTTCTTCTTCTTTTTTTTTGGGGGGGGGGGCGTTGTTCTTTTCTTGTTTTTTCCTCTCTCTTTTTTGGGGGGGGAGAGGGGAACAAGGGGGAGAAAAGGGTTTGGGCCGCCTTGCGCTTGTGATGCCTGCGGCTTCCTTCTTCGTTTGGGTCTTTTTTTTCGGGGGGGAGGTGAGAAAATCTTCGGATCTGTTCGGATCTTGGCGCTCCTTCGGAGAAGCTTAGGGAGTCCTTTTCCCTCCCTCGCTGCCCTCGCCGATCACCTTATCGCATGGCGACTCTTTCAGAGCAAACCGGGCTGGTGAAAGTGAGAAAGAGCCCGCGGCAAGGCGACCCAAAGGCGAATCCATGACACAAATCTCACGTTGCCGTGGCACCTGACAGGGAGTCCCTAGAGAAAAAAAATGATCTTCCAGGTGCCCTCCCATTGGTGCCTTCTGTTAGTGGAAGGGAGGGTAAAAGAAATCTCAAGTGAGCATGGCATGTATATCTGTAGCACATCTGTGTTTGTGAACTTATGTAGTGTATTTCTATATGCATTTTTTCTTTTCTAAATCTATGTAAGGTAAAGGCAGGATTTGTATAAAGAGGCTTTGCACGATGCCTCTCACGGCTTTTTCTGGATCTCCCCTGAAATGTCTCGCCATCCCTCCGGTTGGGTGGTTTGGACCCAGCGCCCCGCTGGGTTCCGCGCAGGTCCTTGGAGAACCTCAGCAGCTTCAAGCGCTCCTGGCGGGGATGGGTGTGGGAGGGGTGGGGTGGGATGGGGGATGGGGTATGGGATGAGTGGGGTGGGTGGGGTGGGGTGGGTGGTGAGTGGGGTGCAGGGGGTAATTAAGGGTGGGGTTTCAAATGGGGTCAATATGGGGCGCGCGGACGATCGGAATGCTTTTTGTTTTCTGTTTTTTTGCGCGCGGTTTGAAAGGCGCATGTTTGTTTGAAGGGGGGGGAACCCTGTTTGAGTGGTTGAAAAGGGAAACCAAAGGAAACCACCATTCTATGAAGGGGGTCCCCTACTGTTACACAAACCCGAAAGGGGAACTGGCTTGCCCAAGGGTCTGAGATAGTCAGCTGAGCTTGGTTCAGTTGTTTGGGCAAAACTTTCATGTTTCAGGTATCTGTGAGGAGCATTCCTTTGCGGGAAGCCAAGACAAAGACAGCCCAGAATGAACAGAACCAAACAAAACCAATACACATACCAACAAATAGCAAGAACAAGGACTTTAAGCAAAGGCACACTTGAAAACTCGGCATACGCCAAGAACAACTGTTGTTTTTGTTGGGTGGAAACAGCATACACCAACAACCATAGCTTTGTATATCATGGTTGTACCGCCGTGTCGTCGCCCACATACGCACGCACACACGCACGCATGCACGCACACACGGACAGACAGACCGACAGACCAACAGACCGACGGACAGACCATGACGGACCGACCAACCGACCGACAGATGGCCGGACACGGGTTACTTAAAGGATAAATCCAAGAACTTGACGAGCGTTCGGGATCCAAGTCAGCTGGCAAAGGTGAACAAAAACGCGGCCCAAATGACTTGCCACGCCCAAAGGAAAACCGAAATCCATGTTTGAGGCATGCCATGTGCGCAAGGGGTAATGTTAACTTCGGAAGAAAACCTATGGAACAGAAAAAGGGGGAGTGCCCCATGTTACAGGGAATCCGGATCACGGTTGGGGGACTTTCCCCCCGAAATGCTCCAGGTTGATGAAGCCAAAGCCGGCATTAGCCTTGCGTGAAGGGACCGACTTTGTCTCAAGGCAGGCGACATGTCACAATTGGCGGTGTCCCTTTGAATTTCCTTCAAAATCCTCCCCAAAAAAAAAAGAGGAGCCACTCAGTGATCATCAAAACCTGGAAACTGCAGAGGTCGACTCAAATCCACACAAGTGAAAAAGGGATGTGGGTGCCTTTTTTTACGGGGACCCCCCCAAAAACCAAAAAACAACACGAAAACCAAATGTGGCTTTCTTCCTGGTGCCCCTTCAACACCCCCCTTTTCAAAACACAAAAAACAAAACGCGGACACCCTCCAAAAGAAGAGAAGCGCGCCACCCACTTTGAGCCACCCTTGGCCTTTGCGGCGCTCCCTCGTTCCAGCGAAAGCGCGCGAGCGAGCAATTGACGCGCCTCGTAGCTGGTCTGCACGAAGACCCGGCTCAGCGCCGCAAAGGCGGCCGGGCGCTTTCGGTCTAGGAGCTCGTTGAACCTCGGGGCGCAACTTTTCTGAGTGAGAGGGCCAGGGTGGGGCCATCCATTGGTTTAAACATGTTTAAACCACTGGTTATGATGATTCTTCCCTTGTTAAAGGTGGTGCTTCAACCATATTTTGCCCCAGCCCAGGGCGGAGGCGCCGAAAGGAAGCCGTTTCGACGCGGGCAGAGGCGGTTCTTCCAAGCAAAGGGGGGGGGGAATGCTTAAGGAACTTTAGGGAACATGAAGGAACCCTGGGGCTCTCAACTTCCCACCCCTAGCCCTGAGAGATTCCAGAATTTCTCAAAGGATGAGCTTCCCAGTCTCACTTCCGATCAAGATGGCACCCAACAAACGGAACCCGGCTTGTTCTATGTAACTAAAATGGTCCAAACTCTAAAAGGTGACTAAAGTCCGAAACGGAACTGGGGGAGTGAGTGCTTGGCGCGCGGACATGTTCCGGGGGTAGCTTCCGAGCATCCCAGTTACCCTCAACAAGAGCCGGTTCAAATCCCCAAACCACCAATTGAGGGGAACCTAGAGCTGACTTTCACTTTACAAAAATGTCAAAATTGATGACCTCAGAATGAGATTTGCAGGTGTCAAATAGCCCGAAAGATGGCGGAGGTCGGTTTGATGTCCATTGAAGTTATACCCCTCGAGAAAACAAACACACACACACACACATACACCTTTCAGGAGGGTTTTAAAGGGAAACCAAAAGGTTCGTCTACGGCACATCCTTGAAGTAACCAGGTTTTATGCAAGTTCAAGCGTTGAGGCATGGCCAAAACCAAAAACATGCCATGATGTGAAATAGGGAACCACTGATCCAAAAGTGGCTGGCGGACATGAATCCCACCGTTTTGTGATGTCCACCATTTCGGGCCCCTAGGTTAGTTCTAACCTCTTGCAGCGTTGCAATGGTTGAGGTTCCTACTCTTCAAGCCGCATCTCGCCCTGTGGCCCCAGAACACCCCGTATGAGGCGTCATGTTTAGGGGAAAGACTGGGTTCCCTTGATATCAATGGATTCCACTAGGCAAATGAGAGAATGGTGGATCTTCCGCGGGAAACTGGCCAGCATAGCCCAGCACACCCATATTAGAATGAATGTTGGGGTTCAACGGCCCTGGCTGCCCGTAAGGGCCCTGGGTGGATTTTGGCGGCACGGGGGGTGCGCGGGGGCGCGGGGGTGCGGGGGCGCTGGCAAGCGTGGATCGAAAGCTGAATTACCTTATTGCACAGGTGAAACGCCAAGCCACCGTAGGTGCCGACTCGGCAAGAGAAGGGCTTGACAGTTGAAATCTCGACTTGTTCATACTCCGACTGAACAATCTTGCGGTTCTCAGTTTGAAGGGCTTGCATCTTGCTCCTGCGGAAAATCAGCATGACGCAAGCGATCTTCCTAGCCACAGAATCGCCATTGAGCAATCCAGTGAGTAAATCCGCCTGTTGCCGAGCGCCAACAGCTTTCGTCACACCTTTCGCACAGGGATACCCAGCATGGGAAGACCAACTGATGGCAAAGTCCGCGATGTCAGTGCTGTCAGCGGTTGACGCGAAGTGACGGATGGAGTTTACCCAAGAAGCGATTTGGTCCGAATCAGGACCCAAGTGCGTCGGAGCTTCAAACTCCAAGATTTGGTTGATCGCCTCAGCATAGCGAGAGATGAAATCCACATCAGCGCTTCCATGGACGATCCAGGCTCGCAATTGAGCCATGTTCGACGGCGATGCGCACCTTCTTTGCCAACTGCTCAGCGAAGGCAGAGTAATCTCGCGGATTCTTAGCTGCGGCCGCGAGAAACACGTGAACGTGGAGTGGAAGCCTTGTTGGCCCCAGATCGCCAGATGAGGAGCTTCTTCGAACATCCTGCGGCGAGAAGAAAACGCTCCACAAGTTGCTCACGAGAGCGGAATTGAGGTCAGACACGTCGAACTGAATGGCCTTCAAATCACAGCCAAGACCTTGGCGCATAGTAATGTCCAGAGAGAAATCAAGCGCCCAAAGGTTGACAGGATGACGCCTCAGCCATACACTCGGAAACGCCAGACACTCACTGTCGAAATCTGAGGCTGCCAAGTCGCGAAAAGGCACTTGGATCGCCAAATCTGCCCGCACTGGCAAGATGACAGTAGCCGATAATTAGGTGATGAAGCGCTGCCGCAGCAGGATTGAAGACGAGAACGACGTCACCATGTTTGCGATTTGACCTGAAACCTTGCAGGAATTCGATGCAAGAACCAGTACACAGGATCCACGGCAACACAAAATATGAAAACCGAGAAAGCCCGGCCCATGTCAACCCCTGGCGAATGATGCGTGGGGGCAGCAAGCGGCCTTGCACCTTGTGCATCACGCCACGCCACGGCCAAAGAATAGATAGCGCGTAAATTCCCAAAGCCAGAGGGTGCCTGTGTTAGCAAGGCACAGCTTTTGAGAGAAGAGATCAACCAAGTAGACCGAGTTAGACCAGTAGGCCATGCTGCTGGGCAAGCTTCTCGGACACCAGAAAGCCATCTAGGACACTAGCGTGTGACCTGACACGAAAGTGGCTTCCTTTGTTCTCAGAACCGCCTGCGTGGGTACATTTCACCCAGCAAGGATCTAGAAAGTGTCGAATGGAAACGCCTGGATTCCCAGAACCCCTGATTGTTTTTGCTTGCTTTAGTGGGGCTTCGGACTATTGGCAGGAACGCCTGCCAAATGATAGGACTTGTTTGTCCGGGGTCAACGTTAGAGTCAACCAATGGCAAGCACATGCAAGCTGATTCAGAATTCAGAGGATCCGCGTCCCAAAATCCTTCAGACCTCGGAAAGAAAACAAACCAGACTTAGGAATGCAAAGGGAAGGAAAAGGATCCCAAAAGAATGGGTTAAACTCAAGGCGCTCCTCAGGTTGCATCGTGCTTCGCAAACCTTGCGCCCGGCATGGCCCGTCCCATCTCACGCAAAGCATCCACCCTTCCCTTCCATTCGCGTTTTCGCCCCCTGGAACAAAATGAGAACATATGTCAAGTAGTGACACATTGCTTCCCTTTAGAACCAGAAAGGGGACACTTCAAAAAAGAAGCACTTCAGCAAATGGAGGCAGCACCTTTGCTTTTTCCCAGAACGATTCCACGGTCCAAGGAGCATCCGCGCCCGCTCGAAGTTCCCAGCACGCAGCAAGGCCCCGGTGACAAGGTCACTGGCTACCTGAAGCTCCTGAGGCGCTGGCGCCCGACGAATTCCACCCCGACGAATTCCCCCTTCAGTTTGGTGGTTTGGGCCTGAACAGTCTCACAAGTTCCAGGTGCCCAGCAGCAAAGCTCGATGGCCACAGCAAGTGAGTGGCATATGTGGCCTCCGGCTTTCTCGGGGCCGGCTGACTGAATGGCATTCACCCAGAAACATCTTGCCACCTCTTCACTTAAACAGAAGAGCCGGACCAAATGTCCGACCTTTATTCGACCCGAATATTTGTTTCAGTCCCCCCCTAAGAACCCCCGCCGAACCCCCCCCCACCCAGAATAAGTGCGGGGGGTATATATTATCTATTAATCAGGGTGTGTATTACTTCCCCTCACCCCCAAACCACAAATCCAACAGGGGCCGCTGGATTTCCCCATCAAAGAGTTGCAGACTTTACCGGTGGTGTCCGTAGAAAATGCCACGTTTGGAAAACAACTAAGGGTGACCTGACTAATGAAATCTGTCTACCCCCTGGGATTTACTTGGTTGCTGTTGACCCCCCTGCAAAAAGTTTAACTTATTGAGGATGTAGTGGAAAGCCCGTTGATTTCCCAAAAAGTTTAACGTGATCCAACCCAATAGCAGTCAAGTTTACCGGTGGTTTCCTTGCAAACCTAGGTCCTCAAGTGGAGAGGTTAGAACAAGGGTACCAACTTTTTCTCCTGCAGTCTATTTTAGTACGGGGTTATCACTGGTAAACAAATAGAATGATACATCAACTTTTCTTATTAAACCGCTTACTCGCGGACCTTACAATTCAATCCATTTCCTCCAAATCCTATGTGAACCCTCACATTGTTGGAAAAGCAAGAAAACCCAACCCCAAAAACCCAATCAAAAAATACATTTTTGGGTGGATTTATTTTTCATAGGGGGGGGGGCGTATTTATTAATATTACCTATCTATCCCCCTTACCTACCTACCTACCTACCTACCTACCTACCTACAAGTCTATCTATGTGTCTACCTATCGAACTATCTCTTCATCGGTCTATTTACCTATCAAATTCTGATCTATCGATCAAATCTGTCTATGTACCTATGTGTCAAGACCATCAATCTGGCTATCTCCATCAATCTACCAACCAATCTGTCCCATCCACTTTCTATGTGTCTATCTATCTATCAATCTATCTATCCATCTATCTCTCTCTCCCTCTCGGTCCATCTATACTCCGAAAGTGCCGCACCTGGCCACGAGAACTGACCAGAGAGTCATTAGTTGCCGTGCCACCAAGCCACGTTGCCGTAGGAAAATGGGCTCCTGGAAGCCCGTTTCGTTTGAAAGCAACCCTGGGTTCCACGTGAGTTGGCTTTAGGGCTGTAGGAAACCAAAGGTATTCAAAACTAAAAGGGGCAGGTAAGGAAAGCTAAGTCTGGCAAGGCTGCATGTACACCAGGTACTCGTTGGGCGCAAGGCCCTGCTCTTGCATGTTGGCGCCCAGCTCCTCAACCACCTGAACAAATTTGGCTCTCCCTCATAGATGCACCCCTGCAAAGAAAAAAGAAGCAAAACCTTTTAATGTGTACATATATATATATACATGTGTGTACACTATCGGATTTGCCTTTTGGGCGCTTGCCGAAACCTGCCTCTTAGAAGGCTTGAGTGGGATTCTCAAGGACGACGCAATGGGCAAAAGCAGCTCCAATGGGTGGCGCCTGCGGACGCTTCCTTCACTTCTCGGCACCGCAAACATCTTGCACGCGCTCGATCTTTCCAGCATCACTGCTGCAAGCTGCAACCATGCAGCATTGCCAGTAAAAAAGACAGTAATGCAGCACATCCCAAAAATGACACACATGCAAAACATGTCAACAAACGCAAGAGGATGCCAATCAGCGCCGCAAACACATGTGAGATCTGCGCGCGCGCCAGCAGGTGGCAAGGGCGTTCGCAAGAGTCTTTAAATAATAAAACATAAGTATAGGACAACCTTGAAGAGGATCACTACATGTTGCGCAGCGAGACGCAGACCTGCACGTCCGGCTGTCATCACCACATCCTCTGACCGTATCTCATACAGCCAAACTGCGCCAAGTCCAACAACAGTTAGCAGAGTACAGCTCCGGTTTGCCGGGCGTAGTCGGAAGTGAAACATTCTGCCAACAATCACCTTGACACGGCACTTGCCTCGAGCTTTCTTTTGGACTGGTGTGACAGTCTTGGTTTCAAGTGGAATTCACTTTGGGGCTGGCCGCTGTGGGGCAGCCACATCACTCGTGATCGACGCAACCAATTTATCCAGCACCTCATCATCACAGGACCCCCGCGCGCTGCAAGCCGTGACGCTTCGACATATCACAAGAGGCTACGCGCAGCCGCGCAACCGTCAACACGTCCGTCAAGGCAACTGGCACGTCAGCCAAGCTATCCGGGCCGAAACACATAGAAACCCGCGGCTTTCGCTGTACGAATCCTTGTCAGCATGACGATGCAGACGCCACGTGCTCATCTGAGTTCGCATGGCTGCTATCGCCATTGAGTCATTGATCTGCTCAAGGAGCCCGATGCTACCACTGGAGATGGAACGCCCGTTGACCCTATATACTACATAATTCGCCTTCCTGCTGAGAATGCGGTTAGTGCAAGTGCAGGATGTGTTTGCTGAACATCGCACGCTTGAACTTACTTCGAGTGCAGGACAGACACCTAACAACCCACCGGCATTCACCAATGATCATTGAGCAAGAGCCAGAGGGACAAACAATAGGGCTGTTGAAAAAAAAGATGCTTTGCAAGGCACCAGGCAGTTGAAAAGGGATAGGCCCGGTCCACAACCTAACGCCCTCGTGTGATGGCACCCTGGTCCAGTTTGTGTGGCAGACCCTCAATTTCCATGGGCGGATGAAGTGCTTCTTGGCTCCGACACCAGTTGTGCAATCTGTAGTCTTGCCTAAGATCATTCTGCGGGGACTGTGGTTCCGTGTGACCAGAAGAACTGTTGGATTTCATAAAGTGGCCTGCGCACCAAGCGATTATGCATTCTGAGCGCAGTCTAGGTCCTCCAGTAGAGAGGTTGGAATAAGGGTGCCCTTTCTTCTGTAGTCTATTTTGGTAGGGGAACCCTCCCCCAAAAAAGGGTACAAGGGCTAGCTGGGAGACCTTGCCAGTGGTCCCCCCCTCACTGCCCTTCCTCCCCACTTCCGCCCCCTTCAGGCTCGGCTCGGCCCGGATCAGCCTCCCAGTGACCCCGGTAGGCAAAGGGCTTGGCCAGCGACGCGTAGGTCACGCCGTGGGGTGAAACGCCCCTGGAGCGCATGCGCTTGAAGACCTCCAGCGCCTTCTCGCAGTCACCGGCCTGCATGTGGAGCTGTTTCTGGCCCATTTTCTGACTTTGATAACAAAACAATGACCCAGTTCTTGGACACGCTCCCAGAGAGGCCCTCCCCAGCCTAAGATCTAACTTGATTTCTCACTTGTTGGCTTCCTTAAGGGGAATTTGGGGTTTTTTGGTGCGGACTCATGTCCACCAACCACTTTTGAGGTGGCGTCTTCCAGGCACCTGCCCACAAATGCTAAATTCGCGGGAGGGAGGCTAAACCGTTTGCTAGTTGAAATGCACTTGCCTCCGTGATACAAAGGAACGACAGCGGACCACTTTCAGAGTAATCCACAATATACACAATCTACCAGGGCTAATCCAGTATCAATCCATCAGTATTGACACTTGGATTGACACTTCGACTCTCCGGAACAGATTGCCAAATAAAGATCCTCTACTACCACAAGGTATCGGTTCCCTTCGCGGATAAGATGCCCCCGGCAGTGGGACTCACACCCCCCCCCCCCCAAAACAGTTAGTGGTGACTTCTCCCGCCGTCATACTGCGCATTTTGTCCCCACTCCACCCGCCATACTGCGCAAAATCCCACCCATTAAACCAATAAATATCCCAAATGCATTGATACAATCATCGCAAAACAAATGTATCAACCCATTTACTCCTCAACTCCTTGTGACTTTGCTAATTCACAATGCCTTTTCGAGCCATTATGACTACACTTTGATGTTTTCTTTGCTAAAAATACTTGACAGACATCGCACCACCACGAATCGCCACGATCGGCTTCCAACTTCTCCCCAGCTTCTATCATTTGATATCGTTTGTGCCGACTAGTGATTAAATGCTTCGTCCATTCTGATTTAGCTACTTCTACCTTGCAAAGATCACAATATCGTTTTTCTCTCTTCTGTTCTAAAATATCGTCCCTATGATTGACATAATACTTATGACATTTCTCCGCCATTTTCTCGGGATTATTTTGTTGATAAGTCTTAGCAGTAGAAAGGCAATAATTACATACTTTTCTCCCATCCTTGAACTCTCCTAGTTCTTTCTGTTTTCTGCACCTACTGCATCTCTGTAAGTTTTCCATACTACTATTTACCATCATGTCGTTAAGTGTCTTCTAACTGCGTATTTTCTAAGCTCTCCCACCGCCATACTACATAAATTATCACTCCCCAAAAAATGGTTAACCAATGGAAAAAGGAGAATTAAAACCGTTAACCCAAATCATGAAAACAATCCCAGTAAAATATGGATGGCAAAATGCGGATGAACAACCCTCTAAGTTAATCATTAGAAAAATAATGTTCTAATGATCAACTTCATGTTTTAGTCCAATTCACCACCATCAGCCTGATCAACTTTCTTTCTTCTCAAAGCTGGATTATACAAAGGCATTGTCATTTTGAGTTCTTGTATCCTCTCTTGACCTTCTTGAAAATATTTGTCCTTGAATTCTTGTGTAGGTGCTTCTTCAACTAATCGTTCATAATCTGCTTTCAAGTGTTTGAGTATATTATCTTGGTGACAACCTCCAACCAAATGGAAGTCCCAAATTTCTGGGTTCACTCTTCTTTCACAAACATGGCAATACAAATATCCATTATTCGCTGTTTTCTCTCTACGCTTCTGATTAATTTCCTCGCGATTTGCTTCAAGATACTGTTTCCGGTATTCTTTCCTCTGGTCTACAGTTCGTTTGTTGTAGTCTCGTTTTTGATCAGTGCATTTATCACAGTTTTTGAGTCCATACACGAAACTATCTTCACCTTTCTCATATCTACATCTTGAACACAGTTTTTTCTCCATACTTTAGTAGGACACCTTGCCTTTAGATGGCTACAACCCTATTTTCAAATAATTATCACTCCCCGAAAAATGGTTAACCAATGGAAAAAGAATATTCTAAGGGCTAACTCAAACTACGTCATTATCCTGGAACAAAATACCTGTAGGCTTTCAGAAGCCTAGCTTGAGCAACTGCCTTCCACAGCAACTGCCCTAACCTTCCACAGCAACGGCCCTAACCTTCCACAGCAACTGCCCGAGACTTCCGAAGCAACTGCCTTAACCTTCCACAGCAACTGCCCGAGACTTCCAAAGCAACTGCCCTAACCTTCCACAGCAACTGCCCGAGACTTCCGAAGCAACTGCCCTAACCTTCCACAGCAACTGCCCGAGACTTCCGAAGCAACTGCCCGAGACTTCCAAAGCAACTGCCCTAGACTTCCAAAGCAACTGCCCTAGACTTCCAAAGCAACTGCCCTAGATGTTCAAACCTTCAGAATTTCCGATCTCAAATAGGCGCGAGTCACACCTTGGACATAATAATAGTCTTGTCCTAATTTTCGCTCAATTCTTTCGACTGTAAACTTGTTTGCTGACCACGAGCTCGTTCTCTCCTTCTCACTGATCCCCTTCTTACGATATATTTTGACCTCATCGCCAACCCTAACAGGGGGATATTTACGGGTTTTGATTCTGTTCATCTCAAGCTTCAACTTGACCTCAAGATGGTTTCCCTTTTTGTGGGCATCGTTTGGAGTCATATCGTGGGCAGAATGAACCATTTTACTGTTGTATGTCAGCATGATCTCGGGGATATAATCAACCCATTGTATATTAACCTTTCCCTTTTTCTCGTCTGCATCAACCCTTTTAAACAGCATGTCCTTGAACGTGCGAATGAAACGCTCGGCGAAATGGGGGTGCCCTCGTGTTTTATAGTTTTGGATCCCTTCGTCCTTGAAAAAATCGACAAGATCTTGGGTATTGAGACTCCCCTCGTCATCCGAATAAATTAATTTGGGTTTCCCTCCCATTTTGTTTAATGCCTCCATGATCCCAGCCGTGATGTCGGCAGGTTGCTTGGATGCAATAGGCACCACCACGGCTTTGCGGGAAAATACATCAATAAGCAATAAGCCTATCCTATATTTTTGATTATCTAAATCATTTTTTGATATAAAAAACAGATCCAATTGATATTCAAAGTTGATATCAGGGGCAATAAACGAATTGTATCCAGACAGTTGTTTTTTTCGTTCCACGTTCTCTTGAAACCACTCCTTGACATCTTGCATTGTTATGGATGCATCTTTCTTTTTTGCATCTTTGTAAGTGGTGGCGATGCTACCAAACCCAGCCTGATCGTAGTAGATCTCACTGATTATCTTGTCTTTATCACTCATATAAATAATACTATAAAATAAATATCAATATGTTATTTTATCACTGAAGCATCTATTACAAGAAGCACAGAAGGCAATGACATTATCCTTTGTGTGGGGAAGATCATTACATAACCTTTGACAAGTCAGATTAGAATTTATATTACCAGAATTCATTGACAACACGAAACCACAGCCACAATTTGCACACTTTCCGTTGACATTGTCCTTCAACCATTCGGCATCCACATAATTGTCTTTTGGGATCTCAAATTTGTTTTTCCTATCCTGTTCCTTGTATGCTAACACCTTTCTATCAAAATAATTCATAATGCATTTTGCGTTAAACTCTTCATTTAAATCACTACTGTATTTGTAAAATTTTACTCTGTTTAAATCCCTTGCCCGAGTGATCCCCGTCCAAAGCCACTCTCGAGTTATCAGATGATGGTTCCAATCAAAAATGGTGACATCGTCATCAATGGAACACCCCTGAACAGAATGACAAGTATAACAGAAGGCAAAGATAAAATGACTTCTCAAGATACCAATATGTAATGTAATCTCTTCTCGTGTTTTGATATTAGCAATGGTAATCCAAGGATCGGAAATATTAATTATCTCATACCTAAAATTCACATTTAACTTATAGGTTTTTGTCTTCCTATACTCTCTGCATATCATGATCTCGCCGACTTCAAACTCATTTTGTTTGCCCTGTCGTTTTCTGATCTGCCTTGAAACCTCTCTACAAGTGTTATTTAAATATGCGACATTGCTTTCTGTTCCTGTGATGTCATCAGTATATTTAAAATACTTATTGATGACATCATGTAGAGACAATTCATGCTCAAAGATGTCGGCATAAATGCTTTTAAGTTTATCCTTGTCCTCCTGAGTCTTCAATCGCTTGCACTCTTCCAAAAACAAATGATGGGGAAAAATGCTATCAATACATTCATTCATATAAATCTCGTGTTTCTTAGTGTTAGTCAGTGCTTTTATAGGGCTCAATTGCTTGGCGTCACCAGTAGCTAATATGATTTTATTAGCCCTATGTTGCTCTACAAAGCCCTTAATTTTTGCCAATACAAAGGTATTATTAAAACAAATCTCGTCAAACACAATGACATCAAACATCGAATGATCGTATTTATCTAGCTTCTCGTCATTGACTGCTATACCGAAGAATTTATTTACAGTGACGCTTTCCACTTCGCACTCCAAACCCAGATTATTGGTAGGAACCACGAACAACACTTTATAACCCTTGAGTCTCTCCATGTTCTTGCAGATGGTGGACTTCCCCGCTCCTGCGAATTTAGCCTTAATCATCAAGCACCTATATTTCTCAACAAGTTCAACCAATTCATTTTCATCATACTCTTTAATGATGTTAACTCTCTTACTTTTGACAATCGGGATATCAACATATTCACACTTCTTCTGTTCATACAACTGCTTTCCTGTATGATGGATCTCATCGTGAGTCTTGGCTAATTTCCACCCACCGATCCCATCGTGAAAATCTAGCAACTGCTGAGTCTTTCTCAAACCAAACTTATTAAAACCCGAACAGTCCACGACAAAAGCGTCGCATTTGACACTCAATACCTTAACATTGTTCTCTGTCAATTTTTTGTATGCGCATTGCATTTTGAAATTATGATACTGCAATAGCATTTCTTTAATAAAACGAAACCCATTGGACAACTCGCACCTATCAACCACATTCAGAATATAATATAAATTGTCGTTTTGTTCAGTTACTTCTCTATCACGGCACCACATGCCATTATCATCATATTCCTCAACCCACTTGGCAGTATTCCTGCTCAT